ATGGATATCTATGTCATTGATGTGAACAGTGAACACTATGACACAACTTAACATGGCAAAGTTCTAAACAGTATTGTGAAAATGTCATTATTATGCTGGCTGTAGATGAGTTATCACAAATGCTGGTACAACAGAAACACAAGTTGTATGGTAAGGATGTTTCGATTATATGGTATATGGAAGTAGTCTGAAGTCCTAAACATATTGTATTGTAATATTTTCTCTATTTTTTTTTTCAATTTTGTGCCTGGAGCACCATTAACTTTGTTACTCTAAATCTTTAGGAAATGTTCTCATTTGATGTTAGATCCTGTATTTTTTGGCGTGCCATTTTGCCCTATTTCACTTCTTTTTAACTCCTGTTATTGGTATTTGTGTTTATCATTTGTCTGTGTAAAACAGTGTTTGTGTAAACTGTACATGAGGACACATGAATTTGCACATAAGCACACATTCTTTCTCCTGTGACACAAAAGGCACTGAAGTGTCTGGTAAGAAAAAAACTGGTCTTTGTTTAAGACTTTGTTTAGGAATGTGTTCATGCACACATTTTCTTTAGAGTTCTTTGCCTCCCCTCACTTTCCTTAGTTCTATTAAATCTTGAAATATTATTACAGGATAATTTTTTTCTTTAATAGTGTACTTGTGAGTTCAGACGAACAAATGTCATGCTGCTGATTAGTTAATTATGACCAGATTAATTTTTACTGACAATCTATTTTTTGCTACATGCTTCTGACATTTTTTCTCTATTTTTTATTCATTTATATTTTTGCTGGCATCATGCATTTGATCCTCCACCCTACACACAATTCTGTGTTTTAAGAAATGTCTTTTTCATGTGTGTCTATGAAGCCAATTCTTTCACATTAATGATCATTAAAGACAATCTGTAAGTGTTTAAACATTTACACTTTAAGACAGGGAAATAGGTTCTAAGTCACTTTTACTTTTTTTATACAGGTACATAATTGCACTATTTTAAAAACTGGGTTAGATGCGAATACAACACAGGTGTGCACACACAGACATGCATGCACATGAGCATATATTACTGTTTTCTTCCAGTTCCCTCCCTCCATATTCCTCATCTTCTGTATTGTAACTTTGGATGCCACACCAGCATGCATTCCCCATCTCATTCTGCTCCCTTCTCCTGTTCTCTACTCTTGTGCCCTTCCCTCTCTCTGTTCCCTACTCGCCTCCCTTTTCTCTCTCTGTTCCCTACTCGCCTCCCTTTTCTCTCTCTGTTCCCTACTCGCCTCCCTTTTCTCTCTCTGTTCCCTACTCGCCTCCCTTTTCTCTCTCTGTTCCCTACTCTCCCCCCTTTTCTCTCTCTGTTCCCTACTCTCCCCCTTTTTCTATCTGTTCCCTACTTGTCTCCCTTTTCTCTCATGGTTCCCTACTCTCCCCCCCCCTTTTCTCCCTTTCTTCCCCCTCCCTCTTCCCGTCCACCCTCTCACTCCCTCCCTCCCTCCCTCCCTCCCTCCCTCCATCTCTGCTTTCACCACAAATTTTTATTTTCTTTATCCTTTTGATTGTTTTTATATCATAGAAAATTTACAATGGAAAATGTGTACAGTTACCTTTATGGTGTCTTTTGTTAAGAAATTTATAATAATATTTTTTATCTTCCATTATTTTTTAGACATATTCAACTTTGGTCATAATTCCATGAAAGTCATCTTATGTGTAAGGTATCCCCCATTGTGAAATATAGCCAATTCCATGTAAATGAAGGAAATTAAGAGAAAAGAGAGGAAAAAGTTTATTTTAGTGGCACCTCAAGTGTAGCCATACTATGACTCCGGGTGAATGTTGGTGACGCGAGTATGTGTGTATAGAGGAAGTTAGTGCAGCAACCAGCTGTGCTGTGGAATATTGTTTCCAACATACATTGTGATGAATAAACTTTTTAATATAACTAGTGTTTCTATGATCCTTTTTTATTGTATGATAAATGTAGGCTGTAAATCTTAAAGAATTTGTAAAGAGGGGTTAAATACTTGAATGTGGATTATACATGAGCAAATGCTTCTGCATTGGTCATCTCTCAATTTCTTGTATATTAATGCACCACATTATATTAATTACCCTCTTAATCCCATGCCCATTGCCATCAGGGGCATAGGAGACCGAGGTTGAGGCCCAATGTTAGGGATCTCCCCTGCCTTGGGTTTCAGCCCTTAGCCCAACCAATTATGCATGGTCTTTTCTTCTCCCCCTTTCTTTCCCTCACCAAACTATCCCTCAATCTCAACTTCCTATGTTTTCTTCATTTCTAACTGCTTTGTTCATTCACATGGACATTCTCTTTTCCACCCCCAATCACTTTCCCGTTGTTGTGTGTGTGTGTGTGTGGGGGGGGGCTTAGGTGACGGAAACTGAGACCCAATGCAGGGATCTCCCCTGCCTAGGGCCTCAGCCCTCGACTCAACTAATTTTGCATGGTCTATTCCCTCTCCAGCTTTTTGTTTCCGTCCCTTCTCCAACCCCTTCTACTATCTACTTCCTAAGGTGTAAGAGCCATGCTGAAAGGATGAAAGGCTGACCTTATGCCAGTCTTGAACGGCCTGCGGGAACTATGGACACGGTACTCCCGATTTAATTGTCTAGCCCTTACCTTTAAGTGCATGAGGGTGGACCGTTTATGCCGTTTTATATAATCAAGGTTCCCCATGACCAGTAATGAAGATGTAATCCCCTTATTAGGGACAATGAGGCTTGCCCCTTTATCAAATAGCCCCACCCCAGGCTCTCCTTTGACCACGACTCCGAACGCAAACTACTACCCACTCCTCAATGCCTACTAGTGCATTACCCACCCAAGCAGAGACTCAATCCCCAGAAGACATTCCTACCCTCCCAACTTCTTCAAATTCATCAACTTACCCCCACAACCTTCATCAAGCACCCCATCCTCCCTTATTACTACCT